ACCCAAATCCCTATAATTTTCTAATAAAAATACAAAAAAAGGGCATCTCACATTTAAATATATATATATATATATATATATATATATATATACACATTTATGAGGAGTAAAATAAATATTTATAAATTTATATAATTTTGTGCAATTAATTAAAGGTACTTTTTTTACAGGCGTTGTAGGGTGCTAATACCTTCTTTACACGTAATCGGCTCCCGAACCCAACTTTAATTTTAAAGATTATCTTTTAAAGGGTTTTCCAATATTTTTCCCTTAAAATAAAATATTGGTGGCGGCTCCATTAAAAAAGGTTACCATCATCTTGTCGTGATCCCGATTATGACAAATGGCGACTCCACTAGGGCAACCCCATTTTCCTTAGTTTATGGAATGGAAGCAGTCCTTCCAATCGAGGTTGAAATTCCATCTTTAAGAGTATTGACGGAAGCCAAATTAGAAGAAGTAGAATGGGTCCAAACCCGTTTGGATCAACTAAATCTCATTGAGGAGAAAAGGTTGAATGCAATTTGTCATGGCTAATTATACCAAAAAAGATTGAAGAAGGCGTTTGAAAAGAAAGTACACCCTAGAGAGTTTCGAGAAGGAGACTTAGTGCTTAAGAAAATTCTACAAGTTCGAAAAGATCGGCTTGGTAAATGGGCACCAAATTATGAACGACCTTTTGTAGTTAAAAAGGTTTTCTCTGGGGGAGCTTTGATCCTCACAAATATGGATGGTAAAGATATCCTACATCCTGTAAATTCTGATGTAGTAAAAAATATTATGCCTAAAAAAATATATATATGAAAATAAAAAAATAAAAATAAAAACACTCGCTAGATTGAAAACTCAAAAGGGAGATCTAGGCAAAAGTTAGAGCGACCCGCTAGGTTGAAAACTCGAAAGAGAAATCTAGGCAAAAATTAGGGTCAACAATAAAAAAAAAAGGAGGCTCGCTAGATTGAAAACCTGAAAAGGCGATCTAGGCAAAAATTAGAGCGACTCGCTAGAGTGAAACTCGAAAGAGCAATCTAGGAAAAAATTAGGGTCCCAAAAAAAAATTCAGCAATCTAGCAGATAAGTATCATGCCAATTTTTGAGGTATCAATTGGGGAAAGCCATGGCAGAGCTAAAAAACTAGGGCAAAATACATTGAATTATCCTCTCAAGTTTATTGGCGAGCAATCAAGGTTATTGAAGTGTAGTACTAGCATTGTTCATCTGGAAAGTGTCACTCACATAACAACTACCTCCCATTGCTACCGTTGTATATATTTTTCATTCTTGTCATACGATGACTTCCTTTGTATACACATTTTTTGCTCTCTTAAATAAGATTATCCTACCTCTTTGTTGCTAATTCTTTTTGCATTTTATGATAATATACTAAAAGGAAATGCCTGTTACATCTAAAAAAGAAAATTCAAGGCATTACAAATTATTTTTATGAGTTTTAAAAGCCACAATATGTTTGATAATTTCTGGAAAAAGCGCAACCAACAAAATAACGTTATTTCAACTCATAAGTGCTTACAACAGCTTAAGCGTAACCGAAGGGAATAACCAACTGTCGTTCAAGTCAAACAGCATTCAAAGGTCTCACTCATCCATCATCTTTGGCTGTGTGTCACGATTAGGGGTGGGTATACGAACCGGTCCAGCCCATTTAAGGCCCGGTCTGTAAAACTCGCATTTTATACGGGCCGGATAAGTCCGGTCCGTAAAATAAATGGACTTATTTTTTAAGTCCGTATCCGGCCCGCCAAAATTCACGGATAACGGACCGGTCCGCGGGCCTAAATAATGGTTCAAAAAAATAAATTTTAAAAAAATAAAAATACATAAAATTAGAAGAAAAAAATATATTTTTTATTTATAAGCTAAATTTTATCATACTAAAATTTATCAATAGTTAAAATGGTTTAAAATACTAAATATTAAAATATTAAAATAAAAATAATTACAAATACTTAAATAATAGTACCAAACTTTCAATAATAAAAGCATCAAAATGTCATAAAAGTAATTCAAATGACAAATACCTACCAACTAAACATAATTTTAATGTCATAATAATTTAAAAAATTAAATACACAACTTAATATTAAAATCATTATTTAAAAATATTAATTAGTGAAGTCCGTGGACTAGCTCGCGAGCCCGCGGATTAGATCCGCCAAGCCCGCGAACTTCACGAGCCGGGCTCAAAATTAGACATAGTCATACGGATTTGAAAAAATGGGCCCGTTATCCGCGAAATCCGCGGACTTACGGACCGGTCCGCGGACCCGGGTCCGTGTACCCACCCCTAGTCACGATGAGGAATTTCTGACCTTAAAAAAAAGGAAAAGCAAAAAGGAAAGGAAAAGAAACAAAAGTTTAAGTCTTGAAAGTTGTGTCTCATAACATTTTACATCACATCACCATTGCATCATATTTCATTTGCATCTCTTACTTCCTAGAACCTATTATTAGGTTTCTTAAGTCTTTAAAACCAGTAGCATAGAGTCTTTAGACTAAGTACTTTCTTAGCACATGACTTTTTGTTTAAGTCCAGTACTTACCTGGCACAAGTTACAATTTCTTTTGTATAAGCCCAGTATTTACCTGGCGCAACCCATCGACCAATTCAACACAAGCATTTGGTCGATCCAATATCAACATTCAATCAATCTAGCCCCAGCATTTGATTGAATTGACACCAACATTCGGTCGATCCAACACAAGCATTTGACTACCCCCCCAACATTAGCATTCAGTTCAGCAACATTCAAGCAATCCATCACCAACATTTTATTTAATTTACACCAACATTCTTTCTAGCCAACACAATCATTTTACTACCACCCCAACATTAGCATTCAGTTCAGCAACATTCAAGCAATCCATCACCAACATTTTATTTAATTTACACCAACATTCTTTCTAGCCAACACAATCATTTTACTACCACCCCAACATTAGCATTCAGTTCAGCAACATTCAATCAATCCAGCACCAACATTTGATTGAATTGACACCAACATTCGGTCGATCCAACACAAGCATTTGACTACCACCCCAACATTAGCATTCAGTTCAGCAACATTCAATCAATCTAGCACCAGCATTTGATTGAATTGGCACCAACATTCGGTCAATCCAGCACAAGCATTTGACCACCACCCCAGCATTAGCATTCAGTTCATCAACATTCAATCAATCCAGCACCAGTATTTGATTGAATTGGCACCAACATTCGGTCGATACAGCACAAGCATTCAACCACTCCAGCATTAGCATTCAGTTCATTAACATTCAATCAATCTAGCACCAGCATTTGATTGAATTGGCACCAGCATTCGGTCGATCCAGCACAAGCATTTGACCATCACTCCAGCATTAGCATTCAGTTCATCAACATTCAATTAATCCAGCACCAGCATTTGATTGAATTGGCACCAACATTCGGTCGATCCAGCATAAGCATTCGACCACTTCAGTACAAGCATTCAACCTTATCATCCAACACTAGTACTTGACAATCCCAACACAAGAGCTATGTCCAGGGTAGCTGGATAAAATTAATTCACATGCTAGTGAAGACAAAACATGCTGAAAAGTGTTGTGTTGGTTGGTAAGGTCAGTGTTGTTCCTTAAAGCGAATAGATATCCTAGAAAGGGATACTCACGGAGAGTTCTAATCAATGAAAGGTTCAAATCAATGAAAAGTTGTGTGAAGTGTCATCATGTGAAATATCGCCATGTGAAATATCATGGAATGGAGCCGCTGAAACATCAAATATTACGGGCATTACATGCATAGTAAAGAGAAAGTCAAGTTTACACTTCTTCATTTGAGAAGCCTAGACATAGTTATAATAATATGGAAAGTCTAAACATGAGTATCTAGCCAATTGATATAGTGAATCCATTTGAATACATAAGTACAATTCATACAGTGAATATTTTACAATTAAGCTATATGTATGAGATATGTTTGTTTCATGCATTGAGTCTTGGTTTTGTGACATGCATCATTTTCATAAAGATAGATTTTTATGACGAAGTATTGGTGTGAATACACTATTAGTGAGACCCCATAGTGGTCTTGTGACCTAGACCTTGGGGATAGTGAGGTTTAAGAGGCCTAGTCTTGTCCGTTAGGTGAATGAGGTGTAACTTGTTAGAACAACATTGCCTTGACATATCCTAATATATCTTCCCCAAGTGAGAGTGTTGGGTGTCAAGTGTTTTTAGTTAAGTGTTTGTCATTGGTATGTATGCCTAAGCTATTCTATGAGTCTTTGAGTGACGCTTGGGTTTTTGAATGGCACCACATGCATATAGAATTAGATTGAGTCCTTGCACACTTGATTGGATAATTGCCTAGTGATTAGTGAATGTTGTGTGATGCTATTATGGATTATATTTGTGTGCATATTTTATGGCTAGATGCTCAATCTTATCTCACATCTGGAGCATGAGTGAGATCTATTTCACTCCTTTTTTTTATTTATTTCTTGTTGTGTTTGGGTTGAAGGCCACTTACACGAGAGGATTAATTATCTTGAGATTTGTGCTAGTGATGAGACTTAGTCCTCCTAGTCTTCACTTAGGTTCTTGTGCTTTGATATTATTGTGACATTGGGGGCATAATTTTATTTCTTTTAATGATTTCTAATTGCTTAGGTTTTAGACCTTTTATATGGCCTTTTGGAGTGCCAAGTGTCATCTTACTTATTTGGTTTATTTATTAGCTGTTATCAAACATTTTATTAATTAATTTTAATTAAATTGGTTTTAATTGATTAAATAATATGAATTCTCTAACTTACAGAAAGTAATTCATTCATTCCAATATTTTTATTTAAAATTAAATTTACGAAAATCCTTTCAATAATAATAAAGAAGTAGAGTGTGTGACATAAATGTTATGTTCAAAATCAGCTAAGGAATATAACCAAACACAATCTTAATGGGCTGAGAATCGGACCTATATACATTTTTGCACGGCAAGGAAGTTTCTTCTATAATTAATACCTTAACTGATTTCAATTATTAATGTGCATGGCACAAGGCTATTACAACATTCAATTCTAGAAGAAAAAAAAAAAAAAAAAAGCTCCTTTCAACGATGAGAAGGAGATTCAGAAGATAAAAGGGGTTGTTCCAAATCATTTTTACATGTTTTTTCATGAGATTCATTATCTATCAAAACGTTCACATCCTCTGTGGAAGAATTAACCTGTGATTTTGGATCTTCCTCCTCTTTCACCGCAACTTCTTCTGCTTTACCCCAAAGCACCACATACAAGCCAATGATCACTCCAATTGCGCCTAGCAAACTATAATCACATGCAATTAAATTAAACCATCGTGTTAGTTCCTAAAATATATAACAAACCTAATTTCCCTTGTAATATTATTAATTTTTTTATACTCAATTATGTATATATCTTCAGATTATTTAACATTGTATACATTACCTTCCTACATATATTTTCTCGTGAAGTAATATGGCAGCCAAAACGGTCGCAATCACTGTGAAAAGAGGATTGAACATCGCAGAGAAAAGAGGACCTCTCTTTGAAATGCACCATGCTTGAAGAAAGAACAATACTGCAGATCCCATTACTCCCTGCAAACAATAATTATATTAATTGCAGTATACATCATCTTAAAATTTAGGCATGAGTTATCCAATATTAAAGACCCAATAATAATATACAGTTTTTTTTTTATTATTTTAAAAAGATTGAGTTTAGGTTTAACCTAATATATCGATAAATGTTTACTCTGATACTATTTTGTCCACATTACTTAGGAGTGTTCATGGATCGATTTTTTAAAAATCTGAACCGGACCATTTTATAAAAGTGGATCGGTTAACCGATTCATTTTTTATAAAGTAGATCGGTTTGGTTTTTTTAAAATATAGATTGGTTTTTTTTAAAATGGATCGGTTCGGTGCGGTGCAGTTATCCACTTTTTACTCACATATGGATCCGTTTTTTTAAAAAACTAAATTGAACCAAACTGATCTACTTTATAAAAATGAATCGGATAACTGAACCGGTTTTATAAAGTGGTTCGGTTCGAATTTTTTTTCAAAATAGGTCGGATTTTTCAAAACGGATCGAATCAGTTATGGATCGGTTCGGATCAATTTGGATTTTTTGGACATACCTAACATTACTTATGAATATATGATTTTCAACATTAACTTATTAGTAATGAAGGATGTGTGTCTGATGCACCATCCACTTACTGCATATAAAGAGCATCCAAATTCAAGTAGAGAGTGAATCTTCCATGCATTAACGTCTGGCTCCACGACTAGAGTCACCGCTGCGGATTGAAAAGTTGCCATGAAACACATCCAAGCTGAGAAGGACAAGTGATCAGGGTGACTATTAGAGGCCGGAACCTGTCCAAGAGATATATAGAGACTCTATTAAAAATATATAACCACTTATTTACTTATGTCATATATATGACATATATATATAGTGTTTAATTAAACCTCTTAACTCAGTGATTATAAGTTTATCTTAGGGTCAATGTAGTGTTTTTAGATTCGACTTTTGTTAGTTTTAGAATATTACGTAAATCATTTCTATAGATAATGAATGAATACATAAAAAATCTATTTAGATATAAATTAAAGTACTTTTAAAGTTTTTTTTATCGAAAAAGTTTATTAATTATTTTTTTTAGAGAAACTTTTCTCTAAACTTATATCTAAATAAGATTATAATATTGAAAATTGGATAAGATCTATCATTTTGATTTTAGAACAATCTAGTCACGGATCTCAATAATGGCGTAAAATAAAAAATATAAAAAAAAATCTGTTAAAATCAAGTATGAATCAGCGTTAGAAAATTGATGTGTAGTGGCTTTCAACAAGGAAAAAATATGTTTTGTCCAATTTTTTTTTTTTTAATTTTTCAAAGAACAATTATTGGTTTCCGTTCTAATAAATTTCTAAAGTTTTGAAAATTTTCATATCATCATATGTAATAATGATTTTGAACCTGTTTGAATATAAATTAGAAATACTTTTGAGAATTTCTTTACTAAAAATAAAAAAAAATATTTTTTTTATAAAAAACCCTAAAATAAAAAAATAAAAAAAAAAACTTTTAAACTTGCATCCAAAGAAACTTTTTGTATACATCTAGATTTGTCACGTTATATGTAATTCCAGAGTGATTGTCGTCGTATCATATATTTAAATAGTTATCACCAAATGAAAGAGAAATAATTTTTCAAACAAATAAAATTATAAGAACCAAAATTAAAAAAACAATGAAGATTAAACCCAAAAATTTATTATATATACAGTATTTAAAAATATGCCGGAAACTTTTAGTTTTTATAAAAAAAATATTCTTAAGTATTTTTAAATAAATAAAAGATAAATCTTTTAATAATTGTTATTATTTAATTAATTACTTACCGTATTTTTTTTTTATCTTGTATAATATATGTAATATAATCCTTTTATATATTAATCATGAATTTTTTATTTTTAAATATTGTTATTATTTTTTAATCTTATAAAATATATAATATGGTTCTTTATATTAATTTCAAAAATTATTTTAAATTTATATTAATTATTAAATAGTAT